GAAGGAATTGACTCAATGGCACTTAAAAACATATCTCGATTGGTGGAGTCCTGGTGTGGCGCTGTAGGATAAGCACTGAACTGAAGGTCGGTTTGAACTGTAAGGCTCGTGGTACAAACTCACCAGCCGCTCCTTGGAAACCCTATACAGGGTCGCTATGAGTCAGAAACAATTCTATGGCACTTAACAACAACATAATATTATGCAATCCTGATGTGAAGCTGTAAGATAAACACTGGACCGCAAGATTGGTTTGAAACTCATCAGTAGTTCAAACTCACCAGCTATTCCTCAAAAAAACCTATACAGGGTCGCTGAGTTGAAACCGACTCAACAGTACTGAACAACACAACAATATCTGGATTGAGTTCTGCGTGGTGTTGTCATGTATAGTAAACTCAGGCTGTTGTCTGTTGTTGTTGGGTCTCAAGCTAAAGAACACCCTTTAGCATTTTTTTTAAAGTTGGTCTGGTCATTACAGATACCTTTAATTTAATTTCTGTTTATCAGGAAATGTCCTAATTTTACCATTGTATTTGAGGGCAGATTTGTTAGCATATGATTCTTGGTTGGCAATCTTTTTCTTTTTTATAGCTTTTACTGTGAATTAAGTGATAGTTTGAATGGGAGAACATCAGTTTTGCATTGACTCTATCATATTTTGTGTCACTGCAATGATTAAAATACCTTTCATGCATCATCGGTTTAACAGTCTTTGTTTCTATACTCTCTGGTTTTTTTCCTCTCTTTTTGTCTTTTATGAACAAAAAACCACACAGGAATGTATAATCATTTAAACATCTAAAGGGCACGTTCTGCAAGTCAGTCTCTTGGCCGCCAGCAGACAGCCTTTCTCTTTTCATGAGTCTAGAGTCCTCAGCTGTTCTATCTCTCCATGGCATCACCTCTTTCATCTCAGGCGTCACTGCTTCTCTGCCTCTTCCGCTCATGCTTGACAATCTTTTTCTTTCAGAGTTTTGTATATGTCATTCCAATGCCTTCTTGCCTGCACTGTTTCTGCTGAAAAATACAAGCTTAGTCTTATTGGTTCTCCTTTATAGGTAACGTTTTCTTTTTCCCAAGCTGCTCTCAGGATTCTTTCCTAGTCGATGAATTTGAAAAGTTTGACTATGATATGTCTTGGTGATTTTCTTTTGGGATCTATCCTGTTTGGGGTTCATTCAGCTTCTTGTGTGCTTATCTTCTTGTCTTTCATGATGTTAGGGAACTTTTCTTTCAACAACTCTGACAATTTTCTCTGTGCTTGTCTCTGTTCTGGAATTCCAATCTTCTTCATGGTGTCCCACATAACTCCTATGCTGTCTTCAGAATTTGTTCTTCTAGCATACTAGTGTTGAGAGATTTATCTACAAGCTCACAAATTAGGGCTTTCATTGCTTTGCATCTACTCCTTTGCCCTTCCAATGTATTATCCATTTGTGAGATCTTAGCATTAATCTTCTGGATTTCTAATTGCAGGTTTTGTATTGTTTCAAATTTTGCATTTATTTTGTCTGTTCTCGCAGTGTTTCCCTGAATTCTTCTTAAGCTTTTACTGTGTCCTCCTTGTTTTCCTTGATCTTTCTATTGATCCTTTGAAGGTACCTAACTATTATTCTTTTGAATTCTTTTTCAGTTAGTTATATTGCCTTTTCTTACTCAGAAGTTTCTTCTTACTATGGATTTTGGTCATTTGTTTGACCTAGTCTCTCGTTTCTTCATGTAAGCTAAAATTGTCTGCTATATGTAAGGGCAACGTGGGGGTTGTCATATTTGCAAAAAATCCAACGGTGTAGTTGCTGGACACAGAGGGGAGAAATCTTGGGG